TTGGTAGGAAAGGATTGTGGAGAGGATCATCTTAATGTGAGTGTATAAAATATGCGAGAATAAATTATTAGATAGCTCGGACTGGGATTCGAACCCAGAACCTTCCGAAGACGTGTACATGTATACGCACTAGGGTGTGTCAAAATTCAATTTCTGTGAAGAACCTTTTAAAATTGGAATTTTGAGTTCCGCTTTTAACAGGAGCTTTGTTTAGGCATTTCCGCTGAAATTTCCGCATTTGGGCCGGATGTGCCCAAACACAGTTTCTGTTAAAAGACGAGCTTAAAATTCCAATTTTAAAAGGTTCTTCACGGAAATTGAATTTTGGCACACCCTAATATACACTGTATAATTTTCCGATTTGACTGTTGAACCTTGACATTCAAATTAAATAAATTAATAAAAAAAAAAGTTAATAGTAGAAGCTTAAATATTTTGCTGTAAAAAGTAAAAAAATCAACACAATTTAGTTTTTTTTGAACAATCATACATTTTTTTTTTGGTTGAAGTATATAAAAAATAACATGATTTAATGGAAATAATTTTTAACTTCCCGCTAAGAAAATCGAAGATTTTCAAAAATCGGGAAATTATTGTTTTCACCCCGTTTTACGAAAATCGAGTTTTCATCGAATCTCGACGTTTCAAGGTCCTAGGAAGCTTCCCTGACTATTCCGGCGATGGTGTGTGTGTGTGTGTGTATATGTAAACTTCTCATAACTTTTGAACGGCTTGACCGATTTGATCGCGGTTGGTGTCATTCGAAAGGGCTTGACTGAACTTAGATTTTGAATATACTTTGGAACGATTCGGACCAGTAGATTTTGATAAATCGCAAAAAAACTACAAAAAAAAATTTTTGCAAAAGTGTTTTTTTTTTTGGAATAACTTTTAAACTGCTCTACCGATCGATTTCAAAAACTAATCAGCTTTTAACATATAAAAACCACGTCGATCGTTACCAGTCCGGTAAAAATCGGTTGATTCGTTTGTGAGTTATCGTTGACGAAAGAAAACCGAAAATAGGGTTTTTTTAGGATTACTCCGAAATTTTTCGTTCTATCAATTTAAACTTGGAAATTCTTCATGAAGCTTAAAAAACTGCGTCGAATACCATCAACTGCGTGAAAATCGGTTCATTTATTCAAAAGTTATTGCGATTTAAAAATTCAAAAAATAGTGTTTTATCAAACTTTTTAGCTCGAAGAGCTCAAAAGCATACAAAAGCTATGTTTATAAGCTTGAAGAGCTCAAAATAACACACAAATTGTATTTATGAGCTTGAAGAGCTCATAAACGTCATAAGTACAATTTCAAGCGTTTAGGTATAGAATTTGCGGGAAGTTGCAGGGATGGCCTTCAGGGTCAACCGTTTTCTGAATTTTTTTAAAATTAATTTATCGGTAAATAGAAATTCTTTTTTCAGTGATAAAAATCGAAACATTGAAATTAAAAGAAAACGTACACAATAAAAAATATTGTGTAAAATCAACACAGTTTGTGTGTTAAAAACGGTTGACACAAAATATGTGTTGAAATTTCAACACAAATTTTGTGTAACCCCTTTTTAACACAAAGATTATGTTGAAATATCGCCACAAGAGGGCGCAAAGAATCATACACTTCTAAAGTGTCAATCTTAACACAAAATAAATGTTAAATAAATTTATTTATTTTCATCAACTGTTTGATGCCTATAACATAACCTATAAAATAATTTTTTTTTATTTCCTCAAATGCAGTAAATAATATTTATTTAAAAATGTTTTTTTTCTATCATTTACATTTTAACGAAACATCAAAAATTACCGACTATAAATAATTGGAAGAAAGAAAGTGTGAAAAATTTTTAATAATTAAATCAAAAAATAATTTATAGGTTTTAAAAGTGAAGCAGCAGAGTTATTAATTTATGAAAATGAAGTTAACCGACATTTTAAAACTTTTAGAAATTTTTTATTGAAAAAATTTCAATTTAACAATTAAAAAAAAAAATGTCACATCTAAAAAACTTTAAAAACTAGAAGTGCAATTTTTTATAAATATCTTTTTAGTTGTAATTTATTTAATAAAAAACAATTAAAAATTTTCAGACGTCTGCTAACTTCAGTGTCATATAAATTTAATTTTCTTTATTATTTAATATTTATTATATTTTTGTGAAAATGTTTGCTGCGTAAAGTGAAGAATTGACAGGCTGTCAACACAAAGTTAATGTTATATTAATGGAGAATTTGACACAAACTTTGTGTTCATTCCCCAGTAACATACAAAATATGTTAATAAAGAGTATATAACACATTTTTTATGTTACAAAATAAAATGACACAAGCTTTGTGTTATTTTAACACACTACAATTTTTAACACAAATACACAATATTTTTTACTGTGTAAATGTAATCAAAGTTTTGAGATATAATATAAAAATAGGTATTTTCGAATTGTATAAATGAAACTTAGTCAAAGAATTTTGATTTTTGATAAATTTATCAATTTACATTCTGTTATCTTACGGCCAATTTAAAAAAATTGAAAAGTATAAAATCTATGAATTTTCTAATGAAATAATTCCTTCAAATATCATTCAAGGTTAAAGTTTAATTTACAATAAACTTTTTCTTGTATCAAAGTCTTGTGAGTGTTAATAATTACTAATTAAGACAAAACACCAATTTAATGAATTGTAATCAACATCTGTCTCAAATAAATTTCTCAGTGTATTAATAAATAGTTTATTACATTTAAATAAATCCCATCAGTGGAAATTGTCCTTGCGTGTTAATTTTCTTATTCATTTTGAAAATCAATCATTGTCACTATAAATAATTACTCATATACGCAACAAATATCATACTTCTTTTTATTAATACAATATACATGAAAAAGTAAAAAATAACACGAATATACAATAAAAAAATACTTTTCATAAAAAAATATTGGAACACATTTTGGAAATAGCCTAATAATAAAATAAAAAAGAAATACTATTAATTAGTAAATTCTCAAAACAAACTTTTCATTGGCATTGAGTCGTATAATAAGATTGCACATTTTCTTATGAGATTTTCTTCATCTCCGGAAGTACATTAGTCGTCTCATTTTAAAAATTTTTTACATTATTTATTAATTAAGCTCTAAGAAATACTTAAATAAGATAATATTTATAAACATATAAAATAAATATGTTTATAATAATCATATTAAGTGATGTTTATCAAATTCATAGCCGTAGTAATCGGGACTCGCGGACACGTATTTCCCGACATGAACTGGCGCAGGAGCTGGATGATGATGAGCGACAGTATGATGATGAGGTGCCGGGTGCAAAGAAGGCTCAACTTTCTTAACAACAGCGTTGAAACCGTTGTGATCATCCGCTGTGTACTCGACGATCCTTACACTACCATCGGGCTCATTAACGCTGTAAGACCCGTGTACAACATCGCCGTCACGTATTTCATGTTGCGTTTTAACGTCTCCGGTATGTGGATCATGTACTCCGTAGTTGAAAGTATATTTTGGGTGTGACTTTATTAAAAAAAAAATTAAATTTTAATAATAACAATAATTTTAAAATAATTAAATAAATTCAGAAGGAAAAGAATAACTTTTTCTTTAATGTAATTTTAATTATAAAGACTTACATAGTAGTCATGATCTTCGCTATGATCGTGATGCTCAACAGGAGCGTGATGCTCAATAGGAGCGTGATGCTCAATAGGAGCGTGGTGTGGGTGGAGATCGTGGTGATGAATATCGTGATGATTGACGGTGTGGTACGGAGCTGCTGAAACGGCGTGAATTGGGACTGAAACTGTCGGTAGAACGTGATGTCCTTCGTAATCGTTGCTTACTCCTTCGTAGCCAGAGTAGTCAGGATAAAAATTACCGTGCCCACCATTGTGCCCTATCAGCACCGCGCTACACATCCCTGACGCTAGTAACAAACTCAGTATCTGCAATTATCGGATTTTTATTATTTTAATTATTAGCGATTAATTGGTTAATTTTATTCTTAATGGGATAAGAATAAATGTCACAGTTTGTGGAAGCCGAGATTTATTCATTTAAGATTTATTTATGTTATTGAAAAGTCCGTAGTAAGATTGACGCGGAAATGAGTGAATGGGAAAGTATATGTGTTGAGACGCACTTCCTTGTCATTTATAATAGTAATAGTATATTTGTACTTTCGTTGTCAAGTTATTTTAGTTTCAAAGAGTTATACTTATATTTATATTCTTTTTATTTTTTTTTTATGTAAAGAGTCTCGCGAGTGTTTTTAAATACTTATCACTTTCTCAGATAAATTACAAAATAATCGATAGTGTGATTAATAATTATTTTAGTCTGTTGAAGAATTTTTTTTAACGAGTAATAATTTTTTATTTAACATGTTGAATGATGAGAGGAAATTTTGAATAATTTTAAAAATTTTTTCATAAAAAACTTTGGGATTTAAAAAAGATAAATTAATTCAATTTTTAAATAAAAATTTTTTCAATTTTTTGTACACTAAAAAAATAAAATTCTTGACTGAAGGGTGAATTTTCTTGGCTCAAGAAAATATTAAGGAAGATTGAAAATTTCTTGAATGAAGTCAAAGTTTCTTGAGCCAAGAAAATTTTTTGTCTTCCTTAAAATTTTTTTGGTGCAAGAAGTTTTTTTTTTGTACTAAAATAGTTTGTTTAATAATAAGCAATAAAAATTTTGAAAGTTCAAAAAGTTGAGTTACTTTATTTTTATGATTTTTTTTTTTATGCTTGAATATTTTCATTCTTTATCTGACTACAATTCTTTGAGATGATTTTATTTTATGGCAGAAGTAAAGGATTTACGTTAAAGCATTATGCAAAATTCGCGTGCTTGCGCTGTTTGATAAAATTTAATTTTCTGATATAAACTTAATTAAAATTTTTTTTATTGACATTAAAATTAATAAATTTTTCTGGATAATCAATTTCAAAGTCAATAAAAACTTTTAATTCAAAAATAAATAAATTGCATTCCTTCGATTATTTAATTTTTTTTCCTTTTAAAACTCATGAACTTTTTAATTTAAAAATTCTGTAAATTTACATAAACAATCATTGCAATTTGTTTTAAATAAAAAATTTTTACATTGCATTTTTAATAAAAAAATTTTGAGTATGAATTTTCGACTACTCATCCCAACATAATATTTTTTTAATTTCTTAACAATTAATATTAAAATATAAATCATAAAATACAACAAATAAAAATTTTCACATAAAAAAATAAAAAACCACTTCAATAAAAAAAAAGCACTCGCGTACCTTAATCATGATTTATAAAACCTCTATAACTTAATTACAGAAAAAAAAATAGTAAAAATATAAAAAAACAAGAGTTGTTTCTATTTCACTGACGTACGAGGAGCAAGAAGACACTGATAGTCATCATCCCTGTCTGATGGTCTTATATCCATCTCCCACCGTAACTATTCGTTCCGGCTTAAAGACACACCATACCAGGTGGATACCCTCCTCCGTACCAGTACTTAGCAATGGACTAAGTACACACGACATAACATCCCGCGATTCTTCAGTAAACTCTTGTGTTGCTTCAAGCTTCAAGGTTTACACTCTTTCTCCTCGTCCTCTCACGAGAAGATACATACGTAAATTTAATTCATTAATAAACCGGAGCACCTAAGCCCAAAAAGTAACACATTAGTCACGGATTTAAGAAACATTCGAAAGTTATTACTTACTTATTTTGAATAAATTATATTTTATCATGATTTCTTCTTCTTCATTACTTACTAGTTTTAGTTTTTAATATAACATTCGAGTATTTTTATCTAATTTACAAAATTAAGTCATTTATTTGAGTGGAGTTATATAAGAGAGTCTTTGATTTTTATTACCCTATTCAATTTATTTTTATCGATTAAGCAAATTATTTTTAACCGTTTTAATCAAATAAAAATTTATTGCCTCACGCAAGTGTTTTTTTTTTAATTTTGGTGTTTAATTAAACCACATGCATTATTAATAATGACAAAAATTAAATAACAAATATTAGTTTTATGATTTTGTGTTACAGTAGTGAATGTCAAATTAATATCGCAATCAGCAGAATTTTTATCAAATTTTGAATAAACATTATAAGATGTGTTTTTTTAAGATGACAAAAAAATTTTTACTGCTCGCATAATGTCGAAAAAATATTGACAGTGCACTTAAAAAAAAGATCAGGTTGTAAAAATTGTGTGATAAAAAGGTAAAATAAAAATTTAAAGAGCTTTATTATCATCGATCGATTAAAGAATTTGTATATACGATCGTGACTGTTTTTGACAGAGATACTGATTGTTTTTTAATTTAAGAATCATCATTTTTACTCATTGATTGTCGTTACGGTGCAATGCACGCATTATAATTACAAAATAAATTTTTAGCTCATTAATTTCTTAAAATGTTTATTTTAATTAAAAGTTTATACTTTTCTTTTATTGCATTGCAATATTTTCAAGTACTTATTCATTTAGTCAATGGTCTGAAGAATTTGCACATCCATAAAACAGTTAACAAAACATTAACATTGTGTGAAATTATTTTTTACAATAAAAAAAAATAATATTCATAGCTGAATTTTTATAAAATTTATTGACGACTTTTAGAGGATTCAATTTAAAGCAATGCCAATATTGGGGTTAATTAATTTAAGAATCATCATTTTTACTCATTGATTGTCGTTACGGTGCAATGCACGCATTATAATTACAAAATAAATTTTTAGCTCATTAATTTCTTAAAATGTTTATTTTAATTAAAAGTTTATACTTTTCTTTTATTGCATTGCAATATTTTCAAGTACTTATTCATTTAGTCAATGGTCTGAAGAATTTGCACATCCATAAAACAGTTAACAAAACATTAACATTGTGTGAAATTATTTTTTACAATAAAAAAAATAATATTCATAGCTGAATTTTTATAAAATTTATTGAATTTTATACAATTTTAATTTTTTCATTGATTTCAAATTCTATGTGTGATAAAATATTAAAGAATCTTACTGTCATAATAAAATTTTATCATATGGCCTGATAGGTATATAATTTTTCTCATTATGTCCATACGTGGGCTTGATATGAAAAGTGGCTATATCAGGACATATATGGCTGAATATGTTTAGATATGACTCGATACCCCCATATCGAGTCATATGTGTTCATATATGCCAATGTTTAATTTTTCGATAAAAAGTAGTCGAAAATATACAATAAATCATTTTTGTCTCATCTAAGAAGCCTATTTGATATTGATTTTTAGTTTGATCGACTATTAAAACAATTTTTGTTTCATAAAACATCTTAATTAATTAACGTACAAACTTCTAGAAAAAATAAAAAAATGAAAATGAATTATTTTTGTATTCTTATTATTTATAGTATAATATGGCCGTATATGATCAGATCGGGCCATACATGGTTAGATATGAAAATTGGCTACATATGGCCATATCTTTCGAAAGTTGAGTTTTCATCGTTTCGTGGGATCTCCGCGTTTTGAGATCCCAGGAAGCCATTCTGACCATTCAAAGGTTATAGTTTAAAAATTCACGAAATTTTTTTTTTCCAGTTATCTAGTTAGTTTTTTTAAGATATCTTTCAGACTTTTCAACCAAACAATATGAATCTGTACATTGTCTTTTTGTGCTTTAAAAATTGCGTCGAATGCTTTTTTAAAAATGAGCACCAAACGACGCATTCAAAAGTAACAATTGTTTAAAAAACACATTTTAAGGCGCTTCAAATTTAAACTTAGCGGGAAGTTTCTACACAGTAAAAAATTTTGCTTCATTGCGTCAAAAAATTTTGTGTTATAAATTTTTATGTTAAATATTTAACACTTTTTTGTGTTGATTTAACAAAATAAATGTAAAATTTACACATAAAAATGTTAAATATTTAACCCAAAAATTTTTAACACTAAGGTTTTTGACGCAATGACGCAAAATTTTTTACTGTGTAGGGTTGACCTGCGCGGTCAACCGATTTCCAAATTCTTTTACGAAATTTCAGCACAAAGTTTTATTAATTAATATTATTACTTGGGTACTGTCTTTTTTTCTTTTTTTCAAGAGTCATTAATTACTAGACGTAATAATTTCCCTTAAGTAAGTAACCTCTTTAATGAAAATAAAAAATTTCTTTGTAAACATTCAGTTTTGTCATAAGTGAAATGTCCACATTATCAGGACAACAGGCATGACATCCTAATATGTAATGTAACATTTGCACCGATATATCGGCGGAACTACGGAGTTGAATATGAACATACATTTATTACCAAGTCCCAGGATTCATATGTATAATGTGAATGCTATACGCTTAAACACATATATTTATATTTATATTTATGTGTGGTAATAATGTTTCGTAAAAGTTGTTAAATATTTTACTAATGTAACGTCAACGACATAATACTAGACAGCCGGCATATTATAATAACAAAAATAATAATCATAATATCAACGAAATCTCGAAATATGTAAAGTGAGCTAATTAAAATAAAAAATTTTAATTGAAAAATAGTCCTAGAGTGCAACAATAAAATAAGATCGTTTTAACAGATATATTATTTTGAGTAAATTATGAAGTTATTTAATTAAATAATATTATATGCAGGCGATAATTTAGATTGAATAATTTAATAAAATAAAATTATTTACGGTAAAATATTTCGCAAGATCCGTGGGATTTGTACATCTGCCATTTAAAATCGAAGTGCACGGTCGGTATCTAGAGCATTCACTTTTATTTTATTCCTAAGTATTAGTATTGAAGAGCCGATATTATTATATATTCTGTGGATATGGATCAAGCAAATGAAAGCATTTTGATAAAGGGTTACGGTGTAGGTTTTCTTTACCGTAATACACTTGGATAATTTCTTATATTTATAAGTTTGTGTAATGGCTAACGATTGTAATCT